CCAACTCAAAAAAAAAAAAAATGTTTGTAGACAAGGTCTTGCTAAGTTGTCCAGGCTGGTCTCGAACTCCTGGGCTCAAGTAATCCTCCCACCTCAGCCTCTCAAAGCGCTAGTATTACAGACATGAGACACCAAGCTCAGCCTGAAAATTGGAATTTCTGAATAAAATTCAAACTTCTTAAAGATTCAGCCCTTGCCTGCCTGTCAGCTTTATTTCCTGCCACTCACTCCATCCCCTGACCTTGGAGAAACTGGTAGTTTCTCCAAGGCACCATCTATTGTTACTATTCTCACTGCCTAAAACACCTTTCCTGTCTCCCCCTTCTCAACCTACCTGACCACCTTGTCCTTCAGATCAACCTCAAATGTCAGGCCTTCTCGGAGGCCTTCCCCAGACCTGCACTCTGACTTAGATGCCCTTCCTTTGTACTTTATACTGCTTTTTGCATATCTCTACAATAGCACCTCATTAATTCCACAGATACTTGAACACCAACAGTATGTCAGGCGATAGGCTAAATCTGGGAATATAATTTAGAAGACGTTGTTTCTGACTTCACAAAGATTCTACTACATTGAAAGAGAAAAGAGCAAGTAAATAAATAGGCAATAACAAAACACTGTGAAAAGTGCTATGAACAGAGAATCATAGCTGCTATGATCAGAGCAGCATAAATTCTGTGGGAATTTAAAGGAGGGTGGTAGGACCCATCAGGGGATAGAAGAGGGGGAGGCTTGGGGAGAAGGCATCCCAGAGAAACTGATGGAGGTCACCAAGAAAAGAGAAGTACTGAAATGTTCCAGGCAGATAGAATAACATTTAGGATAACTCCCAGGACATGACTTGTTTGAGAAACTAAAATCAATTCACTTTGACTATACCATCAGTGTCAAATCTGGGATTTGATTCTTTCCCTGTCTACAAGCTAAAAGACAGGAGATTCTTGGGTCAGAGACAAAGGCTTTATTATCACAGCACAGCAAGCATCATGAGCATCATATCTGTATGGGTTCCCCTTGTTCTCCAAGTCCCACGGCGGCAATGCCATGAGCCAGATAAATGCTGAACATACAATGGATTTGCATCTCAACTAAAGAACACTGAATTGGGGAATCTACTGTTTTATAGTAAGTTTTTTGAGTAAACAAGTGAGCAATCTTGGAAGGCAGAGCTAATATTTCCCTCCAGAACTAAGGGCAGTGGTTGTTTATAACCTTGGAAGAAAGATAGTATTGCCCTGCAGAGTACAGGCATGCATACAGCCCAGTAGAAAAGGTTCTGGCTCCTAAACTCAGCATTCCTCTCTATAATGCAACTCATGGAGTGTGCAAGCGTCATTCAAGCCCTCTTCACCTTGCTCCATGGAAGTGGGCACTCAAGGAACCAACACAAAAATTCTGATAATCTGGCTAATGCTACTGTTGTGAGTATAAATCGCTCTTCATTTTTGATCCAGGAGTCTTGTATTTTCTTTTTTTTGAGTTGGAGTCTCACTCTGTCGCCCCGGCTGGAGTGCAGTGACACACTCATGGCCACCCCAGTGTCAACCCTCTGGACTCCAGCAATCCTTCCACCTCAGCCTCCCAAGTAGCCAGAACTACAGGCGCGCACTACCGCTTCTGGCTAAATTTTGTCTGTTATAGAGATGAGGTCTCGCCAAGTTGCCCGGGCTGATCTCGAACCCACAGGCTCAGGCAATCCACTCACCTTGGCCTCCCAAGATGCTGGGATTACAGGCTGAGCCACCGAGCCTGGTCAAGTCTTGTGTTTTCTACGAGCACCTATAAAACTACGTCAGGGTCAGGAGCGGTGGCTCATGCCTATAATCCCAGCACTTTGGGAGGCTGAAGCGAGAGAATTGTCTGAGTCCATGGGTTTGAGAGACCAGCCTGGGCAACTTGGCGAGACCTCATCTCTACAATAAATCAAAAAATTAGCTAAGCATGGTGGCACACTCATGACCACCACAACCTCGACCTGTTGGACTCAAGCTATCCTTCTGCCTCATCCTACCAAGTAGCTGGAACCATAGGTGCGTGCCACCAAGCCCAGTTAATTTTTTGATTTATTGTAGGGATGAGGTCTTGCCGAGTTGCCCAGGTTAGTCTCGAACCCCTGGAATGGGGAGTGATTGCTTAATGGATACAGTGTCTCCTGTGGATGTAAATTGAGCTGGGTGTGGTGGCTCACGCCTGTAATCCCAGCACTTTGGGAGGCAGAGGCAAGAGGATTGCCTGAGCCCAGGGGTTCGAGACCTGCCTGGGCAACTTGGCAGAAGGAATTATACAGTCTTGGGAAATAAAATTAATGAGACTAAACCTGTACTTCTGTTTTTCTCTTATTAACTTAAAAGGTGGTTTTTGTTCTGAAAAGTTTAGAGAGTAAGTAGTTAGGTTGATATTACTAAGTCGACTTTGATACTCTTGTTTGCCTATAAGAGGATATTCTTTTTTTTTTTATATAAGATCTTTGTCTAGATTTTCTTTTTCCTTATGCTTCTCTTTGGTACTTTTGATACAATGTAACTTATAGTTTTGCATATTATTTGTAATAAGACTTTTTTTTTTTTTTAGTCAGGGTCTCACTTTCACCCAAGCTGGAGTGCAATGGCACAATCACAGCTTCCCACAACCTTGACTTCCTGGGCTCAGGCAATTCTTTTGCCTCAGCCTTTCAAGTAGCTGGGACTACAGGCATGCACCACCATACCTGGCTAAATTTTGATTTTTAAATATTTTATTTTATTATTGAGTCAGAGTCTTATTCTATCACCCAGGCTGGAGTGCAGTGGCACACTCATGGCCACCCCAGCGTTGATCTGCTGGACTCAGGTGATCCTTCTGCCTCAGCTTTCCAAGTAGCTAGAACCACAGGTGTATGCCACCACGCTCAGCTAATTTTTAAAAGTCTATTGTAGAGACGAGGTCTCACCAAGTTTCTCAGGCTGGTCTGAACCCCTGGGTTCAGACAATCCTCTTTCCTCAGCCTCCCAAAGTGCTGGGATTACAGGCTTGAGACACTGCACCCAGCCATTTAAATTTTTTATAAAGACAAGATCTCACTATGTTGCCTAGGCTGGTCTCAAAATCCTGGCCTCAAGCAGTCCTCCTGCCTTGGCCTCCCCAACTGCTAGGATTACAGGCATGAACCACCATACCCACCCCATTTTTTTTCTTTGATTACAAAGATAAAAATACCTAGCTGTTCTTTGAAAATTACCCAAGGCAGGCCGGGCTCAGTGGCTCAGCCTGTAATCCCAGCGCTTTGGGAGGCTGAGGAGAGTGG